CCGGGCTGCTCCGGTAATTAGAGAATAAAAATAAGTTACTCTCTCACAAGTGCCAAAAATGTGCCAACACGTGCCAAAAGTGCCCAGAGCGTGAGGAACGCAAAAAACCACATTTCGTGCCCGGAATAAACATATCAGCTCTAAACAATGGTTTTACGTGTATTTATCTTATATGGCTAATAAACTTACCAAATAACTACATTTTCTGAAAATTCTGTGATATTTTGCACTTTTGTTTTTATAAAGTTTGCTTTCGGATTTAAACAACAACAGCAGTTATTTCAAATTGCCCATTTGTGCCCGGAAAAAAGTCCGGGCTGTTTCGTGCACAAAGAAGAAGATATTTACGATCCAAAAGTGGAACGTATTCGCTCTCTATTACCCATTTCTCAATCCCAAGATGGTCGGTTCTACGTACCGGATTGACTCGGAGAACTCACTCCGACCAAGGACCATCACCACAGCAGCAACCCCCCAAATTTTTTGCCATGGGAGCATGACCCACCGGCAAGTCTGCTCCGTATTCTACTGGTCCGCGCCGGCATAGAACAAAATCCCGGGCCCTGGATCTGTAGTGTTTGCCACCGCAACATACACCACTCCTCAACCTCTGTCCGCTGCAACCGCTGCAACGCCTGGTGCCATCTAAAGGCATGCTCAGGTCTTCGGCACCACAGGGAGTGGAGTAACAATTTTGTTGCATCGTGCTGCAACAACCAACAAACCTGTTACTCCACACAGCCAACACCCGCCCAACCATCAACCAGTGGACCAGCCACAAGCACGCAACACAGGACATCCACCCAGGACAGATGGTTCTGCAGCATTTGCACCAACCTGATAAGGCGCAACACAACATCGGTTAGGTGCAACGCATGCAACAATTGGTGCCACCTAAAGCGCTGCTCAGGCCTAACGCACCACCGTGAATGGAGTACTGGCTTCATTGCAGCCTGCTGCCCAGCCGCACCACAACACCCCGTGCCAACGCCACCAACAACACACACGC